TGTTGTATTTTTCTTAATTTATCATTTCCCCACACCTTGTTTCCTCTGAAGATTCTTGTGAATCTTGAAATTATTTTGATGGGAGAATTTTCTAACAAAAGGTGAAGTTAATAAAGAATAAGTTTTTGTAGGGAAGTTAAGATTTTAACAGCTGTTTCAACTGGCATTAGTATACACAGAAATAAATTGAAATAAACATCCACAATTGTTTTGCAGATTCTTCATCAAAAGATGTTGGAATATTTCTTGGGAAGCAAACTAAAATTTTCCAGTAGTATTTCAGTTTGGATCACTAATTTGTGAAGTGTTAAAATTCCTTCAGGTAATCAAAGAGCTCTACTTGCACATTTTATTTCCCCAGAAGTCTTAGGAACAACCAACACAATCTTAACTGTCATATTTAAGTTGTCAGTTTGTTCAAGCTTTCAGTCTTGAAATCATGAACATGAATGATAATGATTTCTTTTCATCTTGTGAGGCTTCTGTAAGGTGAGTGATCAAAAGAATTTCAAAACTGTTTAACCATGCTATTGATATTAAGGCAGTAGACAGATTATAACTTGCATTTGCAGATGAGGCCTAAATATTTACCTACCATGTCAATTTTGTCTGCAGTTATACTTCAACTTGTTAAGACAAAATCCTTGTCTACTGTTTGGGAGTGACATCTTTTTGTGTGATAATGCTTGACATTTAAACTCTGTAGCTGTCTGGTACTGTGCATCAAAACCCCAAAGTGCTTCTGATCTCACCTGCTCTTGTGTGAAACAATACACCAGTGCCTCCCACCGAAGTAGAGAATGTGATGCGTGTTCTTCCCATAGCTGTCTGTATATAATATCTCATTAAACTGCTATTTGCCACGATAGACTGGGAGAAAATTGAAACCACATTGGATACATAAAGAAAATGTTTTTATAACAACAGGTCATAAACCTGATCTTCTGGCCTCATAACTTTCTTGATTGGGACTGTCAAAGAGCAGAAGGGGAAGGATTTATGAGTTTTGCCATTTGGTTTCCTCGGAGGATGCCAGACATGAGATAAACATTCTGGAAGCATATGCTTAATTTTAAACCACCAATAAAAGATTTATGGAAGATAAAAAAGAAAGATTTAAGTTGTTCTAACTTCATACAAATTTGAGTCAGCACTTCTTTAATTTTTAAATTATAAAGATACTTAAAAGTAACAAGACGTACTTGATATGTTGAGTGTTGCAAATCAAAATATCTTTGATTTCTGTCTCTTGGGCAACTTCAAAATCTTTGATTCCTCAAATAACAAGGTTATTTTCCCCTTGCATACTGGACTATTTATTGATTTTGAGTCTCTTAAGACACCAAAGTAGCAGAATTAAAAGTAAAAAACAGAATGCAAAAAGAGTGGTTCTAGTTCTTTAGTTAGGTCCAATGTGTGTTTTTGTTTTCTGTCACTGTGCTTAGGAAAACCCATTCCTTTGCCCTTTTATCTAGTTATTTTGTAATTGAGGGTTTCTAAATGTCACCAAAAAGTACCTCCCACACAGGTTTGATTAGGGAATTAGCACACTGCCCAAAACAGCTTTCAAATGTAATCTGCAGTCACAACAAGCATGACTCCCTGTGCTTAATAGGCATAATAAGCCTTAATGTACTTGTTAGACATAGCCCTAATTTTTGCCCTGGGAACGTTTTAAGCTTAAATTGCTTAAATTACCACATAAAGCAAATTCAGGGCTGTTGTGCCATCAGCCATACAGAAGCTACTATATCTCACAGGAGTTGCTATGAGCATTTTTTATTGCTTTTTAAAGTTGATGAGTTTTTCTAATCATAGGGCCAAAATAAAAGTTGTGTGAAACAGGCTTCTCAGACTGTGGGACATAGAAAGTGTGTTTGTGTCTGTGCACACACAGATACCAGCAGAGCAGCACGAGCAGCAGCCCCTGATGGATTTCAGTGGGGCCAGGCTGGCTGGTCCCCACTGACAGTTCTGGGCCTGGCTGCTTCTTCCCTTGGAGTCAAACTGGCAGCAGTGGCAGCAAAGTGATCTACTCTTGCCATCCCCTACCATTCTCTAGATACTGCAATATTAGTAACTGCCTGTTCACTTGCATTACTTTATCTGACTTTGGGTCTAAGTAGAAAATAAATAATTGATGTTGCTACACAATCAGTCAAGTAAATAATGATTTTCATAATTAATCACTTTTAAGTATAATTTCTGAAGGCTTTATCCTTAACGATTTTTAAATTATGGAAGAAAGACCAAAGAAAAGTCACAGTTTTACTGAATGAAAAATACTAGAGATCCTCACAACTGTTACATCCTTCAAGTTTTGGAAAAATTGAGGCAGGAAATAACATAGATTCAGCTACTTCCTAGGAGTAAAAATGAGAAGCTTTAAAGTTCTGTTCTGTTAGCCTGAAGCTCACAGGAATCCTGTCTTTTAAGGTGAAGTGAGGAATTAAAAAATTTGTCCAATAGATTTTGAAGTGATCTTGTTATTTTCAGAGTAATTTGTTGGAACTTTAGGAATTTAAGAAAAAAGTACATATTTTAACAGATACTGAATAATGGGGTAGAGATGCAGTAATATTGTATTAAAAGCAGAGGGTGAGAGGATTCTACAATGGACTGGCTTTTTTGGAAAATTGGCTCTGAGCCATATGAAGGATGTCTGGTTAAAAAGAAAAAAAAAAAAAAAAAAGGAGATCTCTGCTGCAGAGAAAAAGTGAAAAAGTTGAAAACCTCATCTGAACAACCACCATCAGGATCTGTCCAAGTTCCCAACACCATTTATTTCTTGGTCTTTGGAACAGGTGCAGGTTTCTAGTGCTCAGCAGGATTATTGCAGTTAGCATCCCTTTCCTGTCATTCTGTAATTCCTGAGTGTGGTACACACATAGAGATAAGTGATTCAGGTATGTGTGTAGTGTGTGTATAAGATACCTTTGTATGGAAAAAACCTACCCAGGCATCTCTGAAATCCCTAAATCTGTGACCAATATACTGAAACTTAGATTTCAAATGTATTATAAACCAGCAAATTGAAAGAATCTTTTTAGTCCCATCCATTACTCCTATGCTTTTTCCAACCCACATCTTTTAGAAAAACTGTTGAAGAGCCTTGCTTTATATACTGAGAGTACATTTTGATGGCAGCAACAAAACAGAGTGGTGAAAATGATTAATGGAAATAGTGTAAGTTCAAAGAGATGCATACAAGCACCTATTTTGCATCTGATGTTTCAGGATACTAAAGCTGAAGAGTATCTTAAAGAACCACAGCTTCCCTTTCCCCCGGTTTAAAATGAAGCTGGTGGCAAGAGGGTATTAAGGACCATGATTATTTTCTTTCCTCCATCAGCAGTGCTGAACATTTTGCCAGCTGGGCCACACAGTGTGACCTAGAGGTTTTGAGGGAAAATGGGTTGTTTAGGCTTTGGTTGGCTGTGGATTAACTTCTGCAGAGGAGCATGATGGAGTAGCATCTTGAGCCTCCTGAGCCCTAGTCCAGGCAAAATCTGGATCTGTTCCAAAAGGGTGGGTAAAGCAAGAGCCAGGGTTTGTCCCCAGAATTACAAAGGAGAGTGAGCAGCAGGCTTATGAACATTTTATGTTGTCAGTTCTCATGCTTATTATGATAATCTGGATTTCACAGGTAACACCTTGCATTGACCTGGTCCTTTGCCATTATTGCTGCCTCTGTTTTCCATCTTCTGTCACACATGGAAACCTTTTAGGTGTTGATGCAGGGTCAAGTGAATACTGAAGTGGCTCTGCAATGGCTTTTATAGGACTGAACTCCAAAACAGAAAAGCCTTGTGGAAACCAAGCCTCAGGTCAGATGCATCCCTGCCCAAAGTTGTGACTTAGTCCAGGGAGAGTGAGATGTTCCTCTTGTTCCTTATGAATGACTACTTTGTTTCTGCAAACAAATGTAAGGTTTAGTATGTTTCCCTTAATGAATGTACTGAGAAATTGAATCAGTATTTTTGAATCAACCACAGAAATTTCAGTAAATTGGATCTTCTTTTATAGTGCTGAATCAAAATGTCAGACCAACACAACTCAATTATAGTTGAGGAAATAAAACAACATGGTGAATATCAGCAAATTATTTCAAATTGCCAATGCCATAACTACCTGTGGGAAACAAGAACAAACAAGGCAAAGATTCAGCTGTGGGAAAATTGGCTCAGAGCAACTTATTTGCAAAGTTTCAAAACTATTTTTTTCACCCCATCTGAGCTTTATAGACTAGCTGCACCCTTCAGTTACTGTTTTTGCTAAAGAGATGTTTTAGCTGCAAAGAAGTGAGGCAAAGTAACGGGAGAATCAGTATTTGTGCATTTGGGTTTTTAAAAGATAAAGGAAATTCTTGTCCTTTCAGTCCAAAATTGGTTTTCATTTTGTCCTTTATAAAAAAGATCCCAAAATCCTTTCTCCAGAGGAGAAAATAATGAAGCTGGGAAATTTTTCTTTGCATTTTTAATGATATTGAGAGACATGGTGCTGCAGTGACTTTAATGTCATGTGAGATGGTGTCTGTTTCCTACAGCATGAAAAGCCAGAAACTGCAAGTGAAATGTATGGATTTATTAATGATGAAGACAACAAATTCAGAATCTCTCCACAATTAACAAGTAACTCAAGAACTAGATTATGTATTCATGCAATACACGTGTTTTAAAAAAATAATAACAGTTTGAGCTACAGTTGGGAAAGCAAGGGCTGAAGTTGTTGGCTCTAATGACTAAATGTACAGATCAGCTCTGACTAATATGTTTCCTCTTTGGTACAAGTTATTAGGTCCTGTAATTTGTGAATATTTTGTATTTTTTATTTTCTCCGTTGCCATGGGAAGGCAGAAACTGGGAAAGCAAAGGTCATGAGGACTGGTCAAATCTTTTAGATAAAAAGATTGTCAAGTGGTGACTTCACAAGTGGTAACTTGTCCTGCAGGTCCTCATCTCTGCCCTGAGGATGAACGTGCTGAGCCTGAGCAGGAGCTGCTGGTACAACACCACTCTGGTAAAACTGTGGTTTCCTTCAAGCTTTGATGAAGTTTTGGGTTTGTGTTTTGGCTCTGCCTCTTCCCCTTGGTGCTGATTAGCATGTTAATGGGTGGCAGTTGGCGTCAAGATCCCTCTAATACGTCACAACTGGAGAGCTTGTTCCACTTGAGACAAATGCAGGTTTATCAACAGGCAGTGTTTCATATTTATCAGCTTAGCAACAGCAGGTAGTGTGAGGAGCCTGAAGAGTCCTCAGTGGTAGCATGTAATAAAGTCAAACAAAGTAATTTTCTAAGTTATTCAGAATATCACAATATCTTAAAAAATAATTTCTTAAAAATGGTAAAGCACTGCACAGTCAGTCTGTAGTGTCAGACAAGGCATGTGGAATATTACTTTAACTCACCAGCTAACAGTTAATTATGAGCCAGCCAAAAATAAAATCATCACAAAACATGATGTCCTGTGCAGCTGCTTTTGGGAATAGAATAAGGAAGCATAAGATATCCCAGGACAGAGAAAAATGAAAGAGCAGAATTCTGTTTCAGTGATATAATGGGACTAAATTAAATCTGTAAGTTAGTCCTGGGGAATTCAAACAGCCACAGAAGGAATTCACTGGCAGATCACTGGGCTGTATCTAAGCAGTACTCAGCATGCATTGCTTATCCCACATGGTAACATTCAGGGAAAGGGAAATAGACAGGAGCAACAAGCATGAACAGTACAAAAGTTTACTCCAAAAGATGGAATTAGAAAGGACTCTGAGAACAGAAAACCTGTGGAAGGTGTTGTTCTGTCTGATCATTTACACCACAGACAAAATGTTGGAAATTGTATGGATATATCCTGTCAAGGACACTGGCTAATAGATAGCCATGTCCAGCTTCATCATAACCTGCAAAAAATTCTGTAGCTCAGGCTTGTCTGGGCAAAATTGTGATGTGCAATGCCAGGGATAGACCATCTGTTTCCTTGTGCTGTTTGAAAAGCACACAGAGAAATGGGAAAGGAAGGACCATGTAAGACAAAGCCATTCTCCACCCAGGGCTTATTGATCCAGGTGTGCTGCTGTAGCAAAGAATTCAGTGAGGTTGTTCCCATGTTTCCTTCTGCAGCTGCCAGATCTCAGGCTGCCCTGCTCAGCAGTCACCCTGTGACTTGCTAAAGTGGCAGGTCACCCAGGAGCATGGCACTGTCAGGGGCTCACATCCAGGCCTTCACACACTCCTGTACTTTCTCTAGTGTCTAACACGACAGCAGAGATGTGAGAGAAAGGTTTTTGGGAAAGTTATTTTTCAGCCTTCCAGATTTCAAATTCTTCCTGCCTCAGGAGAAAATGGTGTTTGTGTAGGTTTCAAGTCTCACAGAATGAAATGATTCGGGAAAAAGTATTTGAAGTTTTGGATTCTGGGTCATACCACCCCTAACATTTACACTTTTCCAATTTGTTCTTCTCTTTCAGCTATACCGTGTTCATTTCAGTATCTAAAACTCTGGGGTTTGGCTGGAAAATATTAGACTAATCCCAGGTAACTTTCAGAATCTAAGATCACCTAGTTATATATAAGGTATGCCTTGAAACAGGTTTGGAATATGAATATTTTTACAAATACATATGTTTTCCAGTTTAATGACTAGGAAGAGTAGGATCCCCCAGTATTTAACCCACATAACAGCCTTTTAAAGAGTAAATTTCTAGGAGGCAGGAATGCTGCACATGCTTAAGAAAGGAATGGAAGGAAATATGAGGAAGTCCACATTTCTCTGGAAGTTAAGGAGCAGACTTCAAATGTCATTAAGCATAAATTAAGTCTGACAATTAGATCTGTGGTTGCCTATTATTTTGTGTTAAAGAGAATAATAAGTTAAAAAAAAGAATAGTATTTCTTAAAGCAAAAATATTGCAAATTTTGTTGCTTATTTTAGCATAAGGAAATATAGTAGTTTCATGGTGCACTTACATTATTAGAGACAATTTAAATGTAATTTTATTTCTCTATAGAAGATAATTAACGTAATGTCTAATATACCAAGACTGTTGTTGGATCTTGTACTAATTCAGGTGAATGTAGACTTTTGTGACACTGCTATCACAGGAGCTGCTTTGAGGGGAGACATTTGCTCTTCAGCTGCCAAGGCCCCATAGCTGCAGGTTCCACTTTTCCTCTGTTGACTCCCTTTCTGCTGCATCCCTGCAGAGGATGTCTGTAAAGCTGGATCTCCCAGCAATGATCAATAAACAGATCACCAGTGCCAGAGATTAGGCAGGGTGGTGTGGCAAGAGAGAGCTGCTCTTCCCCACACAGCAGCACCAATCTCCAGGCAGTCAAAGATTTGCTGTCAAGTGTGACAAACAGAGAACTAAACCCTCAATAAATTTGTTCAGACGTTTTTATTTTCTGTGTACTGGGGCTGAACAAAACACTTAAGGACTTCTAGGCAAGCATTGCATGCCCCAGCCAAAGTAATTTCCTCCATTTTCCATAGCAATTTCAGCAGCAAAAAGTAATAAGAAATACTTGGCTACTGTGATTTTCAGCTACATCCATTCAGTCTTCCAGAACTGAATGGTTTAGCTGGATGCTGGAATATCAGAGTAAAATTCTCTTCATCCATCAGTGTTCTGAGACCAGCCATGCTGGGCTTCTTCTTCCATTGGGAGCTCCTGTAATATCCATCAAATATTTTTCAAGATTGTGTTTAAAGTCCTAGGAAAGTATAGGAAAGTAAACACTTGTGTCACTCCTGGACAATGCTCTGTGAGTCAAGAGAGCTTTCATCAGGTCAGAGGTGAAAGGAGAATGTGCCTGTTGCTGCCTTGCTTAAATTGAATCTTTGAGAGCCCATGGTGTGAATGGCTCCAGTCAATACCAGAATTAGGCCTTGACTCTTAACTACATATTGTGATCCTTCTACAACAGAGTTACTTGAAGTAGTTCTATAAAAAGATATTATATTTTTGTCACCAATATTTGATTTGTCTACCACTGCTGAAGACCCAAAGTCCTATCATTTACAAGGAATATAGAATTACAGTAATATTTCATCATTTCATTGTGTCATATTTTCATTCAAGACTTCCTATTCATCCAAGGACATCCTAAGTACCTACTTGAAACTCAAAAGCACTGAAGTGATGCAAGTGAACACACTGAAGGAGAGGTCCACTGTGATATCCATGGTACACGGGTGTTTCACTGCAGTTGGCTTGGGTGGCACTAGCACTGAGATACCTTGAGACAGCCTTAGGTGCTCCCTTGTGTCCTTCCCATCTCAAGGACTTCTTCAAAACCTCTTCTGTATGGGTGATGGGATGGTGGGAAATCAGGGGAAGACAAAGTTCCTCTAAGTAGCTTGAGAAATGGAATGCAAACACTTTTTTTGAAAGGTGCTTTGGTTGTTTTTCTATGCCCAGACTCCCTCATTTCAAACAGGATTGAGTGGCTGTAGATGTGCTGTGGTGGTAAGGTTTAGTAGTCAAGTACTGTCTGTTGCAAATTGCTTTGCTCATGAACCCTGTTATGGTTGCTAAGTGACAAAAACCTAATTGTCTCTCATGACTTTGACTAAGCCAAGCATTTAAAAGTAAGAAAGTGAAGTGATAAGGATGATGCAGCTCTCCTGCTGTCCATATAACAAGGCAGGTTTGGTACTAATCTGTTTTCCAGAGCAGACAAAAGTGTTTGTTTGCTGTTCTCCACTAACTTTATTATTCCCAATGGTATTATAGAGAATTACATTAATTGCTATGGTAATTGTAACAAGAAGCAATTACTTTCAGCAAACAGCAATTACTTCACCTTCCCAAATTTGTTTGTGGCCACACCTGCCCTTAATCCCAGATTTATAACAAACATTTTTTCTAGAAAATAAAAAAGAAAGATACTGCATATTCTTTGGTAGGGAAGGTATGCAAATTTCCATGTTAGGGATCTTACCCATGGCCAAACCCCAAAGACAAAACCAGATACTTAAAATTCTCATTACTTTTGTAAACATCTCATGTAAGCAGGGGTGGCATTTTATCTCCTCAGGGGTGGCTTAGGACTGCTTTTAGTTGTGATTGGTAAATGGTGTAGGCAAGAATAAAAAAAATACTTGGGGAAAAGAAGTAAAATAAAAGCTATGACCAGCTTGGTCTCACTTAAGATAATCCATAATGTTGTTCTTTCCTATCTAAAGACTTTAAAGAAGACACCTATATGAATATAGATTTAGAAGATACTAGAATAAAAAACATTACAGGGCATGTGTTTTCTGTGTTACCATATGATTGTTACTGGGCAAACTGATGAAATACTGTGGCATTAACACTACTAGTGTTATTCAATGCCTCAGAAAGGCATTAAATTATATCTAAAGATCAAATTCCATAAGCTAATAATGTGTATAATAGCTTTCCCCTGTGATTCTTGTGTTTTTCAAGCAATGTCTCTTACCCAGTAGTACTTCATAAACGGTTTTGGATTTTTTTAATCCTCCGTGTCTGATCTAGATTGTTTTGTTGATAAACAGTTTCAGTGGTGCTTATATTCAAAGCAGCATTCCTCAACATCACTAATATCCATTAAACCCTTCAGAATGAGAACCCACCAAACTGCTAATTACCAAGGTGTTGTGCTGCTCACATAAGTAAACTGAGAAACATTTAGTCCTTGTTTTTACTTGGAAAGATGGCATTTTCTGCTCTGTGCTCTCCAGTGCAAGGCCAGCCCTGGAAAATACCCTGGGGCACATTAGCAGGGGATTATGTCTAGCCAGGATGAAGGTGGAGTTGGAGAATCAATAAGAATCCCTGTTTCCCACCTATCTGCCACATTTAGAAGTGTTCTCCAGAGACTCCAGAGCAGTACAATCCATAGCTGGGGCCTCGAGTCAGCATAGCAGGCTAAGGAAAATGAAAGGAAGCTGGCACTAAGTTGGCTCACTAAAATTTTCTGTATACACATGGTCCCCCAAGTTTGGTTTGCATTGGCAAAAGTACATCCCAAATCCAAAACAACAATAAATTGTTTTTCATCCTTGTAGCAACTCTTTTTTTCTCTGGAGAAACAGCTCTACAATGTTAAATAATGTTGATGTTTTCCAGTGCTCCTTATTTCTAGTGTAATGATTTATGGTCCTGGGCCTGATAGGCAGGATAAGTAGAATCCCTGGGGGTTTTCTGGATGGGAACATTTGCCAAGCCCTGAGCAGCACAACTCATAACAGTGCATTAAGGCCATATTTGCTTTTAATCTCTGCTTCACTCCATGTGCCAGCAATTTTGAGGATTAATTGACATTACCTTGAATCCAATGGTGTGCCTACACCTTTTTTATGAGCAGACATGATCTCACTCTGCTTGCTAAGAAAATACCATCTCCAAACAATGGCTTAGCAAAGCCCTGAGTCTGGGCTGATATCTGCATTTTCTCAGCTTCAGTACTGTGGGGTATGGCTCACAGCCAGCTTGAAACACAGGCTGGGAGTGCTCAGGAGAGAGCAGGGGAAGAGAAAAGAAAGATGGATTAGTCTTAAGGAACTTGAAGTGAGGTTTATAAAATTGACTGTAGCCTGCTTCTCCATCAGACCATGTGAATTAAGCACTTTGCTGCATCTCCAGATACCTGGATGTAATTAAAAATTTTGCTTAGTATGAATTAATGTGATTGGAGTCAAACTTTTTCTTGATAGGCATTTTCTTTAAATGAAATATAATCTAATTATGTGAACCAATCATCAAGGAAACTGATGTTTATCATAACTCCCTCAGCACAATTCCAGAATATAATCCGAATGTCTTAATGTTTGGGATAGTACAATGCTGCAAGTTTGAACACCATGTGATTTTTAAGCTATGAGGAAAGTATGTGAACTGCCATTGTACACATCTTGTCTTCCAGTAACCAGTTTTCAAATAGCAGTTCAGTTTTCCAGCTTTATTTATGTGGCTCAGAAGGGTAAAGGACTGAACTAAAACAGTTTTTTCCAGAAAAACTATTTCATTAAAACCTGACATTCAGCCACTAAAGAATTCTCCAGTGGCCAAATGAAAACTGAAGAATGTTGAGGGATATTAATGTTGTGCTAAGCCATATCTGCCTTTGCCTTTCAAATTAGAAACAATCAGAATTCGCTGAGAAAAAAATTGCTCCAGTCAAATCAAATTTTAAAAGATACAAAATTATTAGAGGGAAGTAAATTCATGGCAAATGTGAAGGGCAGCTGGAAATGTGAATTAATCAGCAATACAGATATGGAGATCATGAAAACAAAATAGTTCAACAAAATTGTAGCAATGTTGTTTTCTTCTTCTTCCCAGATAATTAACAAATTGAATTGTCTCTATTTTACCGCTGATTAAAAAGCTGAAAGAGCCATTCTGATGTACCAGAGGATTACAAGAGAAGGTATCCAAGTGTACAGCCTGGGCACTACACACTCACCACAGACAGCTGCTCTCCTGTTGCCTCCCTCAGTACATCAGGCCACTGGCTCTTGGTACCTAAATTCTCCATGTTTGTTTGGATTTGTGATGAACATTGTGGTCTTCATCACCAGGATGAAATAAAGAACTTAAAGCACAAATAATGGGTAAGCTACAGTATCTGGTATTTCAGTGAGACAGAGACTAGGCTTCTTTATTCCTGAATTTACAAAAGCAGCTCTGATTATCAGAATGTTAATGGATCTGCCAGATTATGTACAGACCATGTGCAGTCCTCCTATGGAACTGGCCCAGCACCCTCCAAAGAAAAAGAGCTGTTGCAAGTTATCCTAAAAATGGGACCATCTTTAATGTTGGGCATAAAATTTTTATCCAGAGGCACAAGAAAGCTTATGATAGTGGATGACTACATCCATTGGAACAAACATCTTACTCTGATCTTTTCAGATAATCTAGAAACTTACAGGAAGAAGAAAACAGATTATTTCAGGAGTCAAACAGTATAAATTATAATAAATTATCCTTTGAACAAGCAACTGATCCTCGATGTGTATATGTACATTTTGGGAATATGGGTATTTTAAAAATGCTTCCTAAGTGTATATCAAAACTCCATCAAAGTGCTTTAATCTTTATTTTATGCAATGCAAATTTAATTCTCTTTTGCTACTCATATTCTCAGTTTAAGCAAATCAAAAAACAACTTAGACTTTTAAAAATGATAGCATGAAGAACAACAAACATCTTCATTTTGGCACCATGAGAAAGCTGCAACAACAATTTCTTTAAAGAAAAGTCATAAATGCCATTAATCTAAATGACCAGGAAGCAGATGCAGAGGCCAGCTGAGAAATAATTTGCTGTTATAAGATAAAGCATTTTATGCAAATGAGAATCAGTGATACTGGGATAGGTATTTTTTTTAAGAAGCTTAGAAGCCAAAGTTCACTGTTCTAGTTTCTTTAGCATGATTTCTGTGACTCTTATGACTTTTAGTTATTTCATCCTGTCCATGCAGTAACTTCATTATACATTCCTGCTCCCAGCCTCTTCCAGGTCCCCTTGTCTTACCATCTTCTTTTGGCATTAGGCTTGCACCAGCCATGGCATTTAAGCAGCATGTCCTCCCTCCCTCTCATCACAGCTTCTAGCACCACTCACCTTCTGTGCTCCTATAAGGTGGAATCATACACTGTTCACGATTTTTTAAAAAATTAAATAGGAGCTAAGCTAGTTTTAAGTTTACATCAGCCATAGCTCCCCACCCAATCCATTATTCCCAACCCAAACCCTGCTGTGCAGGGAAAATAGGTACAACACAGCAAATATGTGCTAAAGGCAGTGTCTCTCCCAGCATCCGGTGGGGACTATAACACATGGATTTCCATTCTGGATTCCTCTGAGAGTCCTGCAGGGCACCTGCAGTTAACAATTGCTGCCACAGTGAGTCTCTCATTTTTTAAAGGGTTTTTCTCCTTCATTGCTATTTGGTAGCAATGGTGTTAATTGATAGAGACTCCTTGCAGTCTGCAGTTCTAGTTAAGGATTGCTATGGATTGTCACAGAGAAGAGCTTTAAGGAGTGGTTAGAAAATGCAAAGAGTGTGTAAAAAGCAGTGTAATGGTCTGCTTGAACAAAGAATATTTAGTTTTCTGACAGGTAGATTCTATTCTGATTTTGATGAGAGCAAAGCTGTCCTGCTTCACTGAGTTTCTTTTACTAGCTCTTATGCATGGCAAATGGACATTTTAATTTATAGCTGAATATGACACTTATTTTTACACACCATTTGCAGTTTCCACTGCTCCTCATTGGCAATTATTCCTCTTGAAAGGAAAAGATCAAGCAAATTAGTGGACAGCATTCACGATGAATCCTTCCTCTTTTTCCTTTAGGATAATCCTGAAGTGCAAATGCTGAGAACATAAAATGGTTCAATACACTTTAAATAGCTGTCTGTGTCAGGGTTAATTATATTCAATCAGGCAGCCAGATATTCCTAGAGAGAAAATCTTTGAGGTTATCTCTCTTACTGCTCTGAAGGGCATGGCCACCTCAGCTCTGCAGGCCAGCATGGCCTGAGATGCATATCAGAAGTCCTGAGATGGATAAATAAGAAGTCCCGATCATTTTGGGACTAATCCAAATTCCTGCTACAAAAACCTGGATATGGGGTTTGGCTACTATAGTAATTGCAACAGTGGAGCCAGTTCCATGTGAGCTGTGCTTTGAAAAACACACATATAATAAGAAAACAAAATAAATGACATGTGGAAAGAATCACTGAGGTTTTCAGATTTTAGAATGCAAAACCTACTTGCTGCTTCAGTTGGATTCCTGTTTAAGATGCAGCTGCTGTGGGAGTATATGCAGCATATTTAATTTGAAAATATTCCCAGAACTTCTTTGCTGCAGACAGGACTTGCTCAAATGAGTAAAAAAACATATTTAATTCTTTAAATCTCAGAGGGTTGTTTTGTTAGCCACAGATGTCACCCACAGCAAACATTTTGAATTAATGGTTCTCTAGCAGTTGTGTTACCTTTTTCATGCACGACTTTGAGGGCAGCTAATTTCTGTGTTTATGTGTTCTACTTGGCATGTACATGATGTGCTAATGAAGAGAGAAAGAGAACAATAATGATGCTCAGCACTTATACAGCATTTATTCCATTTTACTGCATAAATATTAATTGTGAATCTTCACAAAAGCCCCAAGGAATAGATTAATACTATTATCTTTCTATTTAGGGAAATAGAAACAGAGGTGAAAGACTATGAAAAGGAAACAGAAGTGCACAGATGTACTTTGCAAAGCTTTTTATAGCTTATGAAACAGGTCTGTAGATGTTGTTTATAAATCTAATTACAGTTTATATTTAGGTGTTATGGGAGTAGTAAATCTTGCCTTCCTCCCTCTTTCCTGGGAGGAAAACCTGACAAATGAGGAGCAGAAACATCCTTAGAATTTAACCAGAAGATGAGAAAATTACACCATCAGGGAGGACTTTGCTTCCAAAATCTTTATTTCAACAGGCATTAAAGATGGTAAAGACTTGGAAACAGAATGAATAAAACCCACTTATCTCAGTTAGGCACTGCTTCCCTGCCAGGCTGCTTTCTCCAGCAGAAATCACCCTGCTCCTCCACGGTCTGCCCTGCTGCAATGCTGTTTGGGCTGCTTTAGTATCACTGCAGGTCCCCCCACCACAGTCCTCGCACCTGTCTCTTGAACCTAAAATGGACAAGAAAAAGGACACCTTGTTTTGGACAGATGATAAGCACTGGCTGTGCTATCATCCAGTTTATGAAAAACTCTCCAGGACTTCTTTAGTAACACTGAATATATTTAATTCCGAAGAGCAGAAATTAATCACTTCAGCAATTAAGGCACTTGATTCTATGATAGCATTACTATCCTTGAAGAAACACAATACTTAATGGTTTTTATTGCTTGTATTCCTTGAAAGGTGCATTTGCCCTTTCAAAACAGAGACATTATGTTCTCAAAATCCATTTCCAGTTGAAAAGCCTCCCACTGCCTACATGCAGGTGTGGATGTTTTCTGATTACTCCTAATCAAAGTTCAGGGTTGCTGCATTTCCCATGCAAGGGAGAGCAGGATAAACACATGTTAATGAAAGAGAGGAAGCAACATTAGTCCCAGAGATTAAAACAGATGGGTTTACTCTGACTTCATTGATTTGCAGAAAGTGACAGAACATTTCTTTTAGATAGAACATTTTCAATTAGATGCAATGTTTTTATGTACAGAGTAATAAAAAATGTGTTTATATCCTTCAGGATGACTCCTCTGCAAGTTGAGGTGTGAATGTCCCCCTATCTCTTTGATGTGGAGACAAAGAAGTTTGTCTTCTTCTTGTGCCAAGGGCAGCACTGCAGCATTTTGTGGCTTAGCTTGTGAATAGCACTTGGGACCAAACCTGCAGCACAGAATGGCCAGGACAGGAGGCAGGAGATACTTGGTGAGTCCTGGCTTTGCACAACAAGGCAGCACCCAGCTCACAGCTCTCCAGATGCTTTGTAAGCCCACCTGTGTAGGGGTGAGTCTGGCATGTTCTGCCAAAGCACAGGCTTAAACATTTCAGTGGTTTATCAGAACCAGAGCTAAAGACACAAAAAAGAAAACAAAGAACATACTTTTTAGTTAGTTATGCCTGGTTTTAACAAGTTTTTCAGGATTTTCTTCCAAACTACCACAAGCTATAAGGTAACTTTGAATTTCGAAAGCTGAAAGTGGTGCTGAGGGCCCTGCCCTCTACTTTAAACATCAATCTTTGCTTGTACTCCAGGGTCATTGGAGTAACCTTTTGAGTACAAAAGATTTTCCTTCCCAGAGTGTTTTCTCTGGGATACCAACAAATGTAAAAGTAGTACTTTGACATCATAGTTAGAGATGACTTCTTCAAACCTTCCTTTTGTTCCTTAGTTAACACACTTCTACTTTTCTCCTCAGGACTGCCACAGGTACTTTATAGACTGTGTAGTGTGAGAAGCAGTGGTTGTGCTGACACCTTTGTAGAGCTATGGCTTCCAGCTCATTGTGAACTTGGCAGTGAGTCTCTGCTGGTGGTTTTGCTGTATTTGCTGTTATTTTGCTGTATTAGGTAATTGTGCTGCCTTTCCTCAGTTCATGTTCCTCACTCCACCTACTGTCTGGTACTCCTGCTGCCACATTTAATGTGCATAATGCAATCTGTGACCAGAGCCACTTGGAAAGTTCCTTGTTTTCAGGAACAAAATGTACCAGTGTCTCATGTAGCTGTTGCAGCAAATGTTGCAGTTAATTTCTTTTAGTGGATTTTGCCACTCTATGATGAGCAGCTATGTGGGGCAGACTGCAGCTATGCAAATGTGCACTCACTGGCCTAGTTGAGCCAGGGTAGTAGTGTGTGACTCCTGCCATGTCTTCTGTCTCCTTTGACAGAATTTCTGCTCTAACCAGCTTAATTCTTTCTACTTTTTGCTTCCTGAAGGAAAGCAGTGAAATTACTTTAAGTGGCATCCCAATAAATTTTCATTTCAGTAAT